GTACTCATAGAGCAATGATGAAATGGTACTAAAGAAATAATACTGATAAAGAGATCTGATGATATTTGGTTAACTGTCAAATAACAAAAGATGGCAAAATTTGAATAAAATAAAATAAAATAAAATAAAAAAGCCACGGAAGCCCAATAAAAACTACAATGTAAAAAGAATGCAAATGAATTCAATCTTCCAGCAAGACTGACCAGACTGTACTGGTGACTATGAACACTATTGGGAATGCTATCTCATTTCACCAGTTTAAACTTAATTTTTTCTCTCTGCTCCCCGATACTCCAGGCTGTGAATCATCAATATTTACAGTTCCACAAGTTTGCCTGTTCCAGTACAAATGGTATTAAGTGCATTCTAAGTGAATCAGGAACAAGTATAAATATAGCAACTCTACACTGGAAATGCTGTTCACTTAAATAACATCAGATCATCTGTTATTATTCATTCTCCACAGATGGGCTGGAAAAAATTACAAATTGGAAAATAAAAAGAAAATTTATATCCCTCTGTGCCACTGAAGAAGCTATCAAGTTACTTTTACTCCATTCTTGAATGGCAAAATAAATAAATAAAACATCTTATTGTTATTGAAGCAAACACAATATTTTCCTTTAAATCTGACAGTCCATTTCGCCACACTTTCCATTTTAAGTCTAATTCACCTGTACTTCCTCTATGAAAATACAAGTCATAAACTGGGAAAATCCAAATGTATGCAACAATGAACAGAGCACAAACAATAACCAAATTCTCAGAATCCGACACATTTCTTACAATCACACATATTTCAGTACCTGTGGGATTTCCCCTTAATTTATCTTCCTAGATATTCAGTGTCAAATACAGAGCACTGATTTTATTTTGTGTAAGCAAGATTTCTTTCCAGGACAAGGAGCCACGTGATGTGCTGACATAAGCAATAAAATACTTGTTTCAGTCAAAGGTTATGGGAACATCTGGCCCAGATCAAGCATAAACAACTACATACCTGGATGTCAATGGTGCCAAGAAAATGAAGCACTTGATAAACCAAAGAAAAGAAATTCTTGGAATTTCACATTAAAAGGCTACTTTCAATGTATCTCTTACTTTAGTTCAGTAATCAGGACATTCAAAAGAAAACACCCTAACATGTGCTGGTTTCGGCTATATGTATATCTAATCTAAAGCTTACCGTTTGCTTGAGAAAAATCACTAAAAAACACCAAATACTCAAATTTTATAAATCACATACCTGTGCCCGCCTTTCACACCTGTCATGCTGAACAGGACACTGTGACAGAGACTTTGTCATAATTTCTGTTCTTCTCAGACCACGCAGAGGAAATTAGAATCACAAAACACCTTCCACGTGGGATTGTTTTGATTCGGATAAGTCTCTGAAATTGCCATTTTACGCCCAAGAGACAAGGCAATTATCCTGTAGGTTTTCCCGTATGGCGTGTTAACTAAATCAGGCATGACATAACAGGTCTATTTACATGTAAACAAAGTTGTCAAAACAACACTGACGATCAACAACGCTGATCAGCTGACACTGGGTCGGGTCACACACCTTCCTGGCTTGACAAGGAAACAACGCCTTTATGACTCCTCAAAATGGATACCATGATTTAAATACCATCAATCAGCAATGATTCACGACCGGTGTCTACCTATTGTTTGTGAGCGATGCCCTCACTCTATGCTTCGTCATAATTCTTGGCCTAGGTCCAACATTCGTTCAAAACACGTGGGCGCCATGTTGACACCGATTGAGAAATAAAATATTAAATTAAATATATAAAAATGTCACAGATTGTATAATGGTTCTAAACGTGTTTAAGTTTAATTATAAGTAATCAGTTATTCTTACCTCTGTCAAATTTCTTCCCTTCTGGATCAATATCTTTCACATCGAAAATATCCTCAAACAAAACACCCGCCATCTTGTTAGAAACTAGGTCACGTCCATTTTCGAATCACGTGAGCTCGAGATTCCGTAATCATTATTTTAGTACGCCGCAAGTGGGAAAGGGTGGTATCGAGTGATATTTTAAGTATCAAAGTACAGTTTTTATAGATAATGACATGTAAATGATTTGATATCTTTGGCACCTGACCTCTTGTAACGTGCAAACACGTTTTCGTGTAAATAATCACATGCATAAGGCCTTTTCAGTATCTAGAATGTACGTACGAGTACCCCCTTAATTCCTCATTTCTGCCCCCTCTTTTGAGGAAATGGTCAGATCATGAGATGGAAAAAATGAAAGTGTGGTGTGCTAGGAGTTTGTGCGGCACTTTCCCAGATTTTAAATATTTGGCGGGAGTCATAAATACACATCAGTAGGGTGCATATGGCGAGTTTGTTTAATTCGGTTTAAAATATTCAACCAATTTTGATAAATTCTGCATTATGGTAGACTATTGTGGTGTTCTGAAGTTGTTCTCTGTTATTTTTAGGTTCGTTCACCGCTGAAGGTGGCAGTAAACCACAGTTACCGCTTAATTTGGAATCTCTGTATCGTAGAGAGTTCTTATTCAAGACGCGACTTTCTTTTTACGCCAAGTTTTTACAACTCTTTCCGCTTTCATTTTTATAATGGTGAAGTTGGTGAAAGAATTTCTACAGTTCTCTGCAACCCAGGTCAGCCTGTTTGTCGTTTTTGGAAAGGAGCTTTGCCTGAATTTAACCCCCCCTGCCCAATTCCCTACATTACACATCTCCCGCTCATAACTCCACTGCGTGGCTACAGGGGGGGGGGGGGGGGGGGGGGGGGGTCGATACGTTATGGAGGTCTACATTTAGCAAAATACCATTTTTTTCTTGTTTCTTTTGCTTTTTGATGTGAAATACTGATCTTGATATTAGCGCAATTAAAATAATAACTTCAAAAAAAAAAAATCATTATTTATTTTGTTGTTGTTGTTGTTGTATTCACCACCTCTCGCGCTATTACCTGTAGGATGACCCAGCGTTTACCGTCAATTTTTGCTTCTTTGTAAATTGGTGCCAGATAGCGCTCAGTAAGTAAGAAATGATCTTTAGATTGGTAGACAACTATGGTGTGAACTACATTCTGGTACCAGCACTTTGTTGGAAATATTCTTATTAAGGATATGTTAGCCCGTAATAACGCTGTTCCGTACAGGCCTTACAATAATTATTTAGCCTCTGTACGTACTGATAAAGTCAGGTTTAAATCTTTCAGAAAAAGTTTCTAGCACTGGATTGAAGTACTCATAGTTGTTATAAAATAGGCATTACTCGGTGTCGATAGCTGCTTGGGTGAGGGGGGGGGGGGCGTTTATCAACGATTTTATAATTTTAACAAAAAAAGCTGTAAAAATGCTGTTGTTACGCCATCAGCTTGAATAAACAATGCACAACGATGAATTTTTGATGCTACACCATTATTTCATAGCAAAATGATATTTATTTCTGCATTATCTAATAAAATCCTAGAACGTCCTCAATCCCGTTAACAAGGCCCTACATGTACAGGCACAGGTACGGTGGACTTGGCAGTGAGACAAAGGTGGTTTCAACTTTGATCTCATGTCCTCGTTTACGTTATAAGGTTCAGGACTAAATATTTACACCAGGTCATACTTTGTTGACAACATAAACTCTTCTAGGGCACCTGGCGATATTTTGAAGGGTTATCTTTATAGCCTCTTCAAACATCACTTTGATACTGTTGCAGACATTTCTACAAATTTTTAATCAATACTGAGATATATGCCTAATGTTTTGCCGGAGATAAGACGAAAAATAAAATGAAGAACACGATTCAAAGAACAAGCCTTTATATGCATGTGTACATTGTACTGAGTTCTTTAATATACCACCGGGTATAAAATTACTTCTAAGGGCTCTAACGCAAACGTGAAGTTCCAAGGTTCGGTACACGATTCCCGACTTGAGTTATGCTCAGAGAGAATAGCAACGCAACACCACTTGTTTCGTTACAAAATCACAAACTGAATTTTATTTGGCTTCGTAGCCTTCTTTATACTTAAAACCGGCGTGCCAGACCTTTAAGTTTACGAGTTTAAAGATAAGAAGAGCGTCTAAAGATAAGAGTGATTACTGCGATAGGGTAGAGGGAAAGAGCGTCTAAAGATAAGAGTAATTACTATAAACTAATTGAGCCGCGTGCACATGCCCGCGACTCTGATCAAAGGAAATTTAAAATATACTGGTCTGAACACGCCTTCCGTTTTTACCAGAAAAAAAAAACACATTTTTTTTTTCATTAATTACGTTAAAGATATTCATTCTGGATAGTATTTACAATATATATACATGACGAATCGGCCCGGGGGAAAACCAGAGATAAAACCCTTTGATTTATGTCTTTGAATAAAGGGAAAAAAAATAACTCTGGAAACCGGGCAATTGACGTTTTATAATTTAAAGTCTTTGAAGATTGATATTTGAGTCTTTCAATCGTCGGTAAACGGCAGGGTGAAGTTCGAATAATTTCCTCATCGGAGGGTCCACCATTACTTTTGCTGTGGGGTCACACTTATTTCCGGGATGCAGGGCTGATGGGTCAAATGGATCGAAGCGCTTGCGTTTTACCGGCGGAACGTTAGCGAGGCGAAGTGCAGTGGACATCGGCGATGATGGATTTCGGGTGGAACGGTCGCTGTTGGCGGAGTCTACCATCATCGAGTTTACGTGTNACACCACTTGTTTCGTTACAAAATCACAAACTGAATTTTATTTGGCTTCGTAGCCTTCTTTATACTTAAAACCGGCGTGCCAGACCTTTAAGTTTACGAGTTTAAAGATAAGAAGAGCGTCTAAAGATAAGAGTGATTACTGCGATAGGGTAGAGGGAAAGAGCGTCTAAAGATAAGAGTAATTACTATAAACTAATTGAGCCGCGTGCACATGCCCGCGACTCTGATCAAAGGAAATTTAAAATATACTGGTCTGAACAACATGTTACAGAGCCACGAGGGGTCTGCTGGCACTTTTGCTTATCGTGTTTCAATAAATCATGATACGTTTAACAAGACCTTGGTTCCTGACCTACTGACAACATTACCGATCAGCGATTTGGACGATTTATTATCTACAGGTATCTCAGCTGCCTACATACGACACTGACGTTTTAGCATTTTACGGCCGCAATGTCACCTTAAGCACCGAGTATCTTTGATGGGAAGGGTTCACATGACAATTTAAACACGAGGGTAGTGAGTATCTAGGGGACATCCATAGACCATATCCAGCTGACTATTGATAGGTCTATACTATGCCTGTCGACATGACTGCCAAATGGAACAGATTTTCGGGTGCTATGGGCTATTTCCTGAACCTCCGGGGACTCAATTAATTATGGTAAAAATGAAATGAAATAATGCTGAAGACAAAACGCCGTCCACTGCTTCCTGCGTCTTGGATCTTTCACTGCCTGTTTTTAGGTAGGTCTGTCTGGTAACACTGTAGAGGTTCAACGGTGTCTTTCATGTAGTCCAGTACCAACCGTAATACAGTTGTAACAGGAATGGAAGTCCGCTAGGAACCGTAGTACGCTTCCCATGACTTTGTACAGGTGACATTCGTCTCATATACTAACCCCAATACTTCAACAAACCCTTACTTGCACTAATTATATGGGACCCTGACTTCAATTCCACCACTCTTTAGGTATTCCAATATGTCAACAGTGGTTGCCACCTCCACCTACCGCAAATGTTATGTGTTTGTTTTTCTGGTTATATGCCTATGTCAAGTTGATTCGGTAATAAACTATACTATATACTATACTATATACTATACTATACTATACTATACTATAATTCCTAGGACTACCATCCCTGTTACACCTGGACTGAAGACGGTTAATCAGTTCTTGTTTTCAGTCATCTAATTGAGATTTAAATACCAATTCTATCTTTTCCCGCGTATCGTTTTTGTGAAAAAGTGGTGGGTTACAACTATGAACAAAAAACGATTCCTCCAAGTTTACATCAGTGCCTGAGCTCGTTTATATGGGCAAAACGAATTATCACGTAGTTACTCCGTTTAAATACACTGGTTGCAGGTTTGTATCTGGGGAAATCATGGTGTAGTTTAAATGTGGACTTAGCCCCCAAGCCTTGGATATTTTAAATTTGGATGGCTTGGGATCGAAATTTGCTATCATTATGTGCTGTTTAATAATAATAACAACAATAATAATATTTGTTTTTATTGCATTTTAATTTGTATACAATGCAAGTGTTGGTTTAAAACTGATGATTGCTGCCTTTTTGCATTTCATGTCTGGTATCATTGGAACTAGGCAAATATTTATGTCAGAAGACAATTAATGTTCCAGTGTGTTCATTTCAGCGTTAATCTCGAGTTTCCCACCCAGTGGTTCTTCTAGCCTTGACATCCGGGCTCATCCCCTCCATCCACGTGTTGGTGACCACGTGACACTGACGTGCACGTGGTCCAGTCCTCTGATACCGAGGCGGGACCCAACAGTCGTCAAACCTACGCTTAGCTTGATGTGGCTCTATAAGAGAGGTTTCCCTGTATTTGGGAGTAGAAGGATTGGTACCGGAGCCCAACATTCAATGGCCAACATACAATTACACGAAGAAGGGGTTTACATATGTGCTGGTATCAACGGCGAAAAGGAAGTCTCTCAAATCTCGTATAATCTCGTATTAAATACAGAGGGGAATGGTAGCAAAGAGGTGCTACGTCACGAGTTACGTGGTGACGTATCAACCCATCCTATGACGTCAAACCTCAATAGCCCTCTGTTGTCTCATATCAAACGTCGTGCGATCAATTACAAAAATATGTATGTATCTTTATCAACAACAATATACCCAAAGGAGCCTTTCTCAATAACCCCTCCGCCCAACATTGACAGTTATACGAGATATGACTCACCAGAGACCAGCGGAAATCTTGAGAATCTACGTGAAGTTAGTATTTTATCTGGCAATCAAACCGGAGATCAGGAAACGACGCCAGGTAAGAAGTTTATTCACCTTTAAACACTGAGGATGTATTTCATTCCAAGAATTTTCTGTATAAATACATGAAGATTTCCAGTGGGGTTTGTAATACCTGAAAGTACCTTTAGAAAAATATATCTTTCCCTAAATTTCTTTGCACGTTTATTGAGTATTTGCTTTGTATATGATCATGCAGTAAGTTTTTAGTCAACTCAACTCAACTCAAAAAAAAAAATAAAATAAAATAAATAAATAAATAAAATAAATAAAGCCCCGTTACAGTCCATGGAAACGCTGATAAAAAGGGTGAGTTTTGGTCAACCCCTGAATATCAGCCCGAAGAAGGCATCCTACTTAAGATGTGATCTATGTTATTTCCCTTCCAGCGGGAGGTGATCACAGTGACAAGGCTCTCTACCTGGGGATAGGGTTTGCCTCCGTGGGCACTCTAGCCATACTGGCTATGATTATAGTTTTAATAAAGGTAACAAGTACTGCAACGTTTTGGAAATTTTTAAAGTAAAACAATATTTTTCTTGATTTGTATTTTATACTTTTTCAGTCGCCATAATGCGAAATCTGATAACTAATTTGAATAAAGGAAAAACCAACAAGAACACGAGTTTATTTTGTACATGTTTGCAGGAAAGATTCAAAGCATTTCATATTACTGCCACGCAACTTTTCTTTTGACTAACGACGCATGTGAGTTGCTTCGAATTCTCTCTACTTTTTCCTTTCATATTTCAGTGCGACAGTTCCAAAATCTATATATGCGATGCCTGCAATAAAAATCTCCCAGCTATCGGCTGTTTAAAACCCCAACCCAAGAAACGCCGTAGCATTCGTTACAACACCAGGCAGGTTTCGATAGATCCCTCGACGGTTAGTGAGCCGCAGCCGGTTGAATTCTACCTAGAAACTAGGTCTCGTCATGGCAGCAACGCCACAGAGGCAGCTCTCCTTTATTACAGAAGACAGTCGTCTGACGTCACGTCTGTGACGTCACCGACTACAGCTGACGTCACGTGTCGCAAACAGGGAAAGGGACCGATGCTTTCTCTACTTGATGTTAAGGAATGTGAGGAAATAGTGTGATTGTTACATGTATCTATACATATTCAATATTCTCATGTAATTTTGGATACGTATGGCTACGCGCTGATTTCATTCTAGGCTAGCACTGATGGTGGTAAAGTTTTTTTCTACGTCTCCACCTATAAACTTTAAATAAAAGCAACCAGTAGAGCTTTCGAAACGGGCAGGACTTAAGACCTCTTAGTTATAAACGAAACATTTTAGAATAGTGAGGCGATATATTATTACTTGTTTCCAAGCTTTGTTTGGTCATTCGTGAGCGTTCATTTTTGCTTCCTGTATAATATAATATAATATTATTAAACACCGACTGCAGTGACGTAAAATAAAGGGGTGAGAAACGCTGAACAATAACGGGGTTAATATTTTGGACGATAATTTTAATACTGTAATGAAAAATACATAAAAAAGTGACACCTTGGTTTTTGACATTTATATACATGTAAGTATCAGCCAGAATCACAGAAATGAAAAAAAAAAAAAAAAAAAAAAAAACATTTAACATAAAACATTGATGACGACGGGCTGATATACATGTAGTTTGTGGATTATGACGGAACATACGTTATAACAAAACCTCTTCGGCTTTAAGATGTTCCGAACAAATATAATTTACAACATGACATAGAAAAGTATTAGCTGCAAATTTCACAAGTGGTGGGAATATATTAACCATTAATTGATCAAAAAGTTATGTTAAGTCATGTTTTGATTAATACACTGAAACAAATGCTTAATACTGGGCCCGTCGCACGATACACCTGATGTGCGTGCATCATACATTGTGTAGAATCGGACTGTACGTAGAAGACAATATTGTAATGGCAGAATACTTCGTGTTGATAAATATTTAACTTTATATCGATGAAAAGTATTAAGACAGCATTTAAATTTGACAAAAGCTAATTTTACTGTTTGTTCTTTTTACGCAACTTCGCCATCTTTTTCTTTCGCTGGCTCTTTTTACGTCAAACGTGCAGTTGTGCGCAGACAAAAAAAAGTAAAAAACAATAATACTCTCGTACAACAATTAGATATTAAATACTTTAAACAGAAAACAGACTACAGCCACAAAAAGTACATTTGTATGCATACGGAGAGACATTATGCAGGCCTACGCTTACGATAGAAACCATTTCAACCGCCCGTGTAACTTTCTCTTTGGTGGTGAAACAAGGGGATGACTCAAAATACTCTAGTACCAAAATGGATTATAAGCATAGCAGGTAGAATAACGGTTCAATTGAATGATGATATAATTACCCGGTATATTCTGTTCTCAGTGTATTTGGTCCACCACTACGACGAAAAAAGTGAGTAGTTAAAGCCATAGTTGACTAGCACGTTACGTACAGTAGAATGTCCTGTGTGGAGTCACGCCTAAAAAATATAGGCCCTACAATATTATATATGTGACCTCTTTCTGACTATCAAAGTTAAAATAGAGTCATCATTTGACTAAAACTAGGATAGAAGATAATTTAGGTCCTAGATTAAAACATGCGTGATTTTTTCATAACATTTATGACCTAAACGACGCTTATTTTGTCTAAATTGTCTAAGTGATTTGCGGCTTTACGACTCAAATGAGGACTTCTATGAGGACTTCTCTGAGGACTTCCTCTTCCAACGTTCATTTCGGTGTCTAGGTGGAGCCTGTGTAGGCTGTCCCTGCTGTGGCAGTGGGTGGAGTGAACAGGAACGTTTTCGGGGATGCATCTCCACATGCGCAGAAGTTCACACCGGAACCGCCTCCCGCTTACGCAGTACAACAAAAAATTGATAGAATGGTTGATATAGGTCAATAACAACACGACTGTAGAAACCAGTTTCTGGACAGCTTGTTCCTTCGGCGTTGCTATATTTGCATTCCAATATGGCTCTACAATCAAATTGATAAAACTGGGACTTGCTAATAAAAGAAAACTGAACGTCACTACGAGAAGCATAATGGTGGTAGACTTCGACCGGAAGTCTTTGTGGTTATTGGAATCTTTGCTCTCCCTGTGTTTTCTGATAATGTCCTCAATGATATGTGACGGTCTCCGAGATCCCGTGGGGGTATGCGCGGGAGACAGGCCGTTAGGCGGAGAATGACCCCCTCCTCCTGTAGGTAATAACTTACTTCTGTTCATTTCTTTTGCTCCATTGAGGGACTTGGACAAGATTTCCTCCACTTTGCGTTCCAACGCAGGTGACTGGTCTCTCGTCACCCGCGTTAAAAGAGGCGTTTGCTTCGGAGACAGGGAATTTTTACGTGATCCACTAGTAGATGTGAAATAGTAGCTTTTACTGCAAGTACCTGGGGTTTTGATGACTGGCCTACAAGCAACACCCTGAAATTTGGAAGACTTCTGCAACGCTCTTATAATTAATATATTCAAAATCATCATAAACGTGAATGGCCCCCCAGCGTAGACGCAAAACACCACCCAAGGCAAGACTTTCTTCCAAAAATAAAAGTATTCAGAATCGCAGAAGTGGTTACACAAGAGTTGTTGTTTGTTGTTATAGTTCAACGTCACGGTCCAGAAGACGTGCAAATTCTTCGCCACGGCACATCCGATTGTCACCGCTAACGCAATTTTGGCTCGCTTGGTTGTGCAGTAGCGGTGAGACTTGAAAATGTGGCAAGTTGAAATGTACCTTCCAACCGTCAAACCAACCAACAGCCACGCTGATAAATCTAAGAATGTATATAAAGTAAAGCGTTGTAGTTTACAGACAGCGTCATGTAAGTTCCTGATGTCGTAACCGCCGTCGTAAACCCTGATCATATGTCGTGATAGTCCTAGCCACAGGGCGACTGTATCCGAGACCGCTAAAGCCCGTAAAAAGAATCCTGTCCAAGTCCTTAACATGAAAGGTCTCCGTAAAACAAAAAATGATGTGACATTTCCTATTGTTCCCAGAATTAGCAATATTGGTGGAACCACCTTATTCAGCCACTGGCTGGTCTGGTACTCTATGTGGTCGTCATAAGGACCAATAGGTCTGTAGATATATTGTGAGTAACAGCTATATGCTTCCCTTGTGTCGTTCACGTAGAAACTAATATTCTCCATTTTGATGTGGCTCAGTGTAACATTAATATCTATATCTTTCTGTGAACCATAGAGTGTACACTGTTTGATCTCTTTGGTGAACTGCTTTGGTTGGTTTCACTTTGATTTATGCCGTCTATCTAATGAAGCACTGCTTTTTATATCTCCTACAATGGAACGGCGTTACTGTTTCCATACATTTATAACTCTTCCTGAATATTTAATGTATCGCCTCTTATTCTTAGCCTACCAAACGTGGGCTTGGTTGACCAGAAAAGGCCTGTTGGTAGTCGTTGTTCCCAGTTCTTATATATGAATCACTGACACGTCTTCACGAAGTACTGGAATATCCAATGCTTTATATATTTATGATATATGATATATGATAAACGTTATCCGTCATACTGCTGTGACGTGTAGTGACGTCACTGTTGCTACCTCCACGTTCCCAAGAGCTCCCAAGAGTCATGCGTGTAATCCATTTGAAATACATAGGCGACCAGTTTGAAGGTGCGACAATACATCCAACACCATAATGTACATCTATAGCACCTATTTTACGATAATGACTTCGTAGCAAACTTTCCTGCTGGTGTTTTCCAAGATATGAAAATGTGAACGTTGAGACGGCAGGTTCGGTAGTTTAATTTTATAACTGTTTGGCAAAACTTTCTTGTACTATTCCATTGGACAGCTTTCTGAGCTGTACTTTGCAGTCACTTTTCTGAATTCTTCTTCTAAATTCTGATGATTTTTCTGGAAAGAAACGAAGTTCATACTATCATGGATAATGTGTTAATATGAATATATGAAACTATATTATGCACAGAGGTAAAAAAGAAAAAAAAAAAGAGGAAAGAGATGATACATCGCTATGACAAAGACATGTTGACATGATAGTTGCACAGTGTTATAGGCCTGGCTTCTGCTTACAAAAATGATGAATGATGACGTTTGTCTCATTA